TTTTTTACAATATTTTGTATATATTAATTAAGAGCGTTATCTTATTGAAAAACCTGACATACAGGAGCGCTTATTTAGAAAAGCGCTCCGGTAAATTCCGCATTCATATTTTAGAGCGCTTATTTAAAAAGCGCTTCTAAATACCTGCTCTTAAAAATATATTATGTAGTAGTGGAGAAAACAAGAATACTAAATATGATTCAATTGTTAAAGCTAACTTTACTGCTTTTCTTCCTTCTACATTCATAATGTCATGGGTTCGGGCTAACCAAGTCTCTACTCCTCTCTTTCATATTACACTATACTGACAAGTTTTATTATTACAGTTAGGTAGTTCGCCTCTTAACTGTCTTCAATAGTTCTTAATAGTTTTTAACTAACAATTTCCTATCTTTCCAATCAATCATTTCCTATCTTAAGTGGTAGAAAAAATGGCGCTCAATTGCTTTGTGCGTACTATTTACGCCAGCAAAGCTTATTAATATCTTCCATGAAATTGAATATTAATATCTTCAAATTAACAACATATTTAAATTTCCAATTTCAAATTTTCTTTTCTTTTCTTTTCTTCTTGTTTTTTTTTTTTTTATACAAAGACGAAACTAAGACTACTTATCCTCCACTCGTCATTGTCTGGCAACTTCTATCATGCAGTATTATAGGAACCAGCCCAGGTGGGATCAGTTCTAAGAGATAGAATCCAGGCAAAGACGAAAGACCATGCTTAGCCAAGTAATCTACAGCTTCATTCCCAGACCGAAGGACGTGTTGGATTTTCACCTCCCAGCTTCTTGACAGTAAAGCTTTAGCTTCTAAAATGATTCCATAATCAGGATGACATGGACGAACTTCATCTCGTATGCAGGAGATAGCAGTAGTTGAATCAGGTTCAAGGATGATTCTCCTATATCCAGCGTCCCATGCAACTTTCAACCCATGTGCACAGGCCCAAATCTCAGCTGTGAGCTCATCACCCTCTCGCATATGGCACATAAACCCACGTAAAAATCCCCTCCCACATCACGTGGCAGATCACCACAGGCAGTCGCTGTATGGAGTTCAGACCAAGCTCTATCGAAATTCATCTTCACCCACCCCTATCAGGTGCACTCCACCTGTTTCGCGGCGTCATACTTGGTCACCTGTTCAGCTTCGCTTGTGCAGAGTGCATACTCGATAGTGTAGCTTGTGAGCTCGCTATAATGGTTTCATTATTAATCCATTTTTCCTCAAAAACAAATAGGTTTCGTCGGCGTCAAGCCCACCAGCAGACGACGGCAAAGAGAGCAGACCAGTCCTGCTGATCCCTGTTTCGTTTCTTATAAATATTCCAGGCAAGCCAACAGTGCAGATCAAAAGTGAAGAATTTGCTTTGTTCGTCAGTAGGCATTAATGACTGCCAGAGTGCACACGTTTCAAGGTAGTCTCATAATACGTGAATCGTATCCTCCGTATGAGAGTTGCAGCAGGGACATATATCGTTGTCACTAAGCCCTTTCCGTCTTCTGTTAGCATTAGTGAGGAGACTCCTGTGAGTTGCAAGCCAGAGAAAAGAACGATAGTGTTGGGGGATTCTAAGTTTCCAAATCTTACTCCACAAAGGATTAGTAACCTCAGCGTTAGGCATCAACTGTTTATACGCTGACCGCACAGTGAATTTACCCCCTTTACCCCTTTTCCATCTCACATCAAGGCTGTTGTCGATCAGTTCCATCCCCTCTTGAACCCTCGGCCAAGTGGCTTTGATTCCTGACCAAGTGTTGGATCCACTTCTTCACATATCTATCTTTGGAATGAGGTCCTCACCACACTTATATTTGTTGCGAATAACTTTAACCCAAAAGTCATCCTTTCTTTTGATAAGATTCCAGCTAAGTTTCATGAGAAAGGACTGATTCTGCTTAGCAGCATGCTTCAATCCAAGTCCTCCTTTATCCTTTGGTTGCTCCACAACATGCCACGCAACAAGTGGGATTTTCCTCTGTTCTCCCATATTGCCCTAGAGGAATTTCCTGTTACTTCTGTCGAGTGTCGCACAAGTGCTGATAGGGAGTGACGATGTCTACATTACATAGCTTCGAATAGCTGAGGAGACAGAAGAGATCAGGGTAGACCGTCCAGCCAAAGAAAGCGAATTAATCTTCTAAAAAGAAAGACGAGATTTAACTTCATCTACAACCCCCTCAAAAGTTTCTTTGGTAACTCTTTTATGGTGAAGAGGGACTCCCAAATATTTTCCAAGATCCACAATTTGGCCAAATCCCAATGCATCACTCAATTCATTTCGCTTGTTGTGATTCACATTACAAGAGAAGTAAACTCGGGTTTTCAAAGAATTCACCTTCAATCCCAAGCTAGAGAAAAATTTATTAATCCAGTCCATAATAACATCCACCTGATCCATAGAGGCCTTTGCAAATAACATTATATTATCAGCAAAAAACAAATGAGATATTGGGGGTCTATTCTTTGTAAGTCTTATCGGTTTTCAATCCCCATTTGACATACTTGCTTGGATCAAATGAGCTAGTTTCTCCATACAAATAACAAAAAAGTAAGGGGAGATAGGGTCCCCTTGCCTCACACCTTGAGACATAACAAAAGAATCAGCTTTATCTCCATTTCAAAGTAACTGCATTTGAGCAGAAGAGATACAATAATAAATAATATCAATAATGTTTGAGGGTAGATTTAGCTCCATTAAGCATTGCTTCAAGAAATTCCAATTAACCCTTTCATAGGCTCCATAAACCCCTTCTTTCTTCTCATATTACGCATGAAGTGAATAACCTTTTGAGCTATAATAATATTATCCGTACCATGTCTTTTTGGGATAAAGCTATACTGATTAGGAGAAATAATATCTGGTAAAAATCTCTTAACTCTATTGGAGATTATTTTATTGATGACCTTATAAATGACATTGCAGAGGCCAATGGGTCTAAGATGTTTTAACATTTCAAGTGGATCTTTTTTGGGAACCAGCACAATAAGAGTTCCATTCACCTCCTTTAAAGCATGAGGATTGTCAAACAAAAATTTAATAAAGTTCACCACACACGTACCAACAGTTTCCCATTGGTTTTGATAGAAGAGTGCATTAAAACCGTTTGGACCAGGAGATTTTAGGCCTCCCCTACTAAAGATGGCAGACTTTACTTCCTCGTCTTCTACATCCCTTCCACACTCATGCATAAGATCTTCACTAATGCTGGGGAAATGAACGTCACATTGAAGAGGATCTCGAACATCTTGATCTTTTGAGAAAAGAGTAGCAAAATAGTTGTGGCCACCTTTTTTATTTCTTCCACATCAAAAAGCCAATTACCATGTTCATCACAAATAGACTCAATCCTATTTACTCATTTCCTTTTATTAGCTCTTTCATGGAAAAATTTAGTATTGCGATCACTATAAACATTCCACTCTGCTCTAGCTTTTTGTGCCCATAAAAGAGTATCTTGAATCATCACATCTTCCAACTCCTTCTATAGGCTGATTTGTAAGGTTATAAGTTGTTTCGACTGACTGTTTCTGCTAATAGCATTATTAATACCATCTAGCCGTCATAATGATTGTTTTTTCGAGCTTCCGTATGACCAAAAACTCCTCTATTCCACTGCATGCATGTGTTAGTAAAAGAGTTGATATTATCATTCCATTTCAGCTCAGGCCGCCATTCGGATTGAACAAAGTCATCAAATACTTCATGTAGTACCCAAGAAGCGATAAAACGAAATGGATGACTCCTTGGTGTAGATCGCTCACTTCAATAAAGACATAAAAGTAGGGCGATGGTCAGATTTAAAATTAGGGAGGTGTTTTACCATAGCCTATGGGTAGTTCAAATTCCATTGAGCGTTGCAAAGAAATCTATTTAGTCAGGCTTAGGACCTCCCACGCTGCCAAGTGAAAGAAGGGCCTTTAAAACCCAAGTCATGAAGTCCTGATTTCTCTACCCAATCACAAAACTCATTATCAGTTGTAAGCTTGAAGTAGCCATGGAGCATCGTTCATCGCCCAAAAGAGTGGCATTAAAATCACCACCCAGGATCCATGCTCCCTTGCTATTATTTTGAATACGCTACAATTTCGTCTAAAGATCGCATCTCCCCATCTTATTAGGACTGGCATACACGACAATTAGCAAGAAACTCCCCTTTGTTAGAGAATTAATGCGAAGATGAATAAATTGAGTGTGTTGTTCAATCACACTAATTTTTTTGATAGTAGGATCCCACAAGCACTAAATACCACCACTATACCCATCATTATCCACACAGGCATAATACTTAAAGCCCAGTTTCTTTATTCTTTGCTTTGTTTTATTTGGCTCACAACATGTCTCCAACAACGCTAGAAAATTCAAATGGTAATGTTTCTTCAACTTGTGTATGAGGGGAAAGCTCAGTGCTCTCGTGCCTCACGAGTTCCAGATCATAAGATTCATAAACACAATTTATTTTTCTCATGGAGAGTATCGTCCTCTCCGACAACCATATCTTCACTACCTGTGATACCATCCTACTTGTTGATGTAGTCTGCATGCTTTGCTAATTTAACAGTCTCGTGCTCCACAACGTAGTCCTTATCACCTTGGACTTCAACAGGCTTTGGCAAAATCTCCATTTTAAATGAATACCCACCCTTTTCTTCCTTATGCAGCCCAATATTTTCAGGCCTATCTTCCTCATTTGGCCCTTCTCGTTGCAAGACTTGGAACACATTATTAGTACTAATAGGTTGCTGGGCTTCCCCGTCAAATCCATTAGATCCACTAAAGTCCATCCCAAGGGTCTTATTTTCTTTACCCCATAATCTTTTCCTCTTAGATCCTATAGGGACCCATTCATCCTTTTTAGAATTAACCTCTTTTCCAAAAAAACGTTTGCCTTTATCCCTTCCAGATCCCTTCAAGCACCTTTATTTGAGTCAATGCCACAAGTACTTTGATTCTTATCTTTAATGCTTTTTAATTCCTTTAGATTTTGCATTTGACCTTCAGGAGAAAATCTTGGTAGATTCTTCGATCCTACACCAACATCTGATCCCTTAGAAATTGCTTGAATTAATTTTCCACGAAATTTCCGCCGCACAATATTCTGAGGTCCTAATCGTCCACGGAGGTTTGATTCTCTCTGACAGTCTCATGATTTCCAGAATCCGGCAAACTTTCAATCATGAATGGTACTGCATCAGAGTCTACCCTCGTCTTTCGTTCAACCTCTCTTCCGGTGAGCCATCCTTCCTGAACTCCTCTTCATGAGCCTCATTGTTCCCCGAAATTGGGAATTGATCATGAGTATGGCCATACTTTCCACATGAAAAACAAACAAGATGCAATCCCTCATACATTATATTCCACTCATCACCAAAAGCATCGAACGAAGGCATTAGAGGCTTAAGTAGATCGACTTCTACACATATCCTTGCAAATCCCCCTTTATCATAAATCGACGTCGACCAATCCACCTTTATAGTCTTCCCCACCATCTTTCCAATTCTTCTAAGATTGAACATGATGAAACTCTATAGGTAAGTCAGGTATCTGAATCCATACAGCAATCTTTCATTATAAATTCGCTTTCCAAGGGTTGAAGTTTGGACGCCACCTTTGCACAATCAAGTAATGGTCACCAATCATCCATGGACCCTCTTGAAACGCATAATCTGGATCCTCCTTATTTGCAAAGGAGACGATGAAATATTCGTTACTTAAAGGAATGATCTTCATTTTGCCTCGTGGCTTCCACATCCTGAAAAGTCTACTTGAATAACTCGTTTAGGAGGACTAGCACCCAAAACCTTTACTATCACAAAGTTCATCCATGGCCGGCACCATGCTGTATACTCTTCTGCAGTAAAGCTTAATTTAGGACTACAATTATGTTCACCCTCACCTTCTCCCTCAAAAGCATCTTCATCAGATTGATTCTTATCCCACTCCTTTGCCTCCTTTAAATTCATTTTATTGAAATAATTCTTCCATCCAATAGTAATATCATCCTCTTCCTCATGTCTGACGAGAAACCTAGCAACCCCGCCGGCCAGTAACTTATCTTTATATGAGGGTGGTATCATCCTTTTCCTCCCCACGAGCATATTTGCCTTCCCATCAGTCCCAACATTTGTTGTGGCAGTCACAGAACTGTCAAACACAGCCATCACTACCACTCAACATCTCCAACATTGTTTTGTCTCGCTCACGGCCTCCATCTCGATCAATCTTGCAACCTTCAACCTCGTCACTGCACTGCACTCTACCCCCTCCAGAGCTCTCGCCCACCTCCATCATAGTCCAATGACTAAAACAATTTCTTCAAATTTTCCAAATCAACCACTAGCTATTACTAAAAATGTTGTTTTTCGTGAAATTTTTGACAACTTTACAGGTTAATTATAATATTCTTTTCATGTTCATTTTCAATTTGCCTTCAAAGAGAGTATTTCGTGGATTATGAGTTTGCCTATTTTACGAGTATATCATTATGTCTTTTTAGGTGAATGAAGCACATAGTTAACCATATGGTCTATTATAAGCATGCTCCATGACTATAACTACAATTATTAAGAATCTTGAGACCTCTTTTTGTTGGCATTGCAAACGATGCCCAACTAGTACCCGGAAACTAAAACTCAATGAAGGCAACTACACTATCCTAAAAGTTCAGGGGAAAGATGGAAAGTGAAAGAAACTGCTCTCGTGTAAGATTCTTTCTCTCATAGTGTCACTCTTAAAAATTTTGTTTAGGAGCTTATGATAATATATTATCCACTTTTTACAGCTTGAAGTTTTATTACCAAGTCAAGGATGAGATACGCACAATCTCTCGTGTTCTTAGACCAAGTTGCAGCACAGTTATTAAAGCACTCTGTTCATGAATTGATGCAGCGTCCAGATAGGGTTTGCATTATATTTAATGCTATCCAATGTTTTGGTTGTAATTGTAAAACTCAAAATCCTTAAATACTTCCATTTCATTTCAAAACTGAAAATATTATTCTAATTTCTTAGAAAGATGACTTTGCATGGTTCTCCCGTGAACTTTGGAGATGTAGCTGACAAGCACCTTATCATGAGATTGAACTCTAGAGACTATAATATCACTAGAAAATCATCTACCCTTTCAGTCATGCATTTTTTTTCCCCCTTGAAATGAGGCCCAAAATAAGAGAGTTTGAGATTATCACTCTACAAGGATTTAAATCTCACTTCCTATAGTCTGCCATTTTATTTTAATTGTCAAATGACTGCAGGAAACCATTGCGATACAATTTGATAACGAAGAAACACACCCATGCATCGCACGGGATGAAAAACTAGTTATAGTGTAAAATACGTCAATTTATTAATGTAGATAAACAGTTTCCTCTACAGTAATTAAATTGTATTCAATGTTCCAAAATGAGATGTTCTAGTTCTAGAATTATGCACAGGTTGTGGTTATTTCAAGTTGCTCGGGTGTATTCCAGCTTCATTTATGTAATTGCCGCCAAAATACCGTTCTGACATTTTTTTTTATTTTTTTAAAAAATTATATAAGTAGGAGAAGTTGAAGTTGTGGAGTCTTCATTGAGAAAATGTGGGTGTGGGCCACTGTTGGGCCACAATAAGAAAATGAACATGCAAAATATTTTAATAAGTACGAAATAATAAATAAAAATAAAATAAATTATTTTTGGTCAAATAAAAAATAAAATAAATTGTTACTTATTTTTTAATATACATAAAATAATAAAATTATTTGTTAAAATAGTTTCTAATACACACAGTACGCATGTGACAATGTATTTTAGAATCAGCTATGTTATTTAATGTTTAATATGTACTCTTTCCGTTAAAAAATGTAAGGTATTTTTTGAAGAGTTTGATATTAAAAAATATAAAGCATTTTTAGTATTTTGAGATATAATTATTATGTTTTTCCAAAAGTGTTCCTATTAATAATGACTTTATATTTATTGTAAGGTATTTAATAGAGATAAATATAAAAAGATAAAGTTAGTTTGAAAGTAGGTAACTACTTTATTGAGGGATGAAATTCAGTTAAATATGCCTTACATTTTCAAATGGAGAAAGTATATAGGATAGCAAATTAAAATATAACAAGTTGATATCTGAATTTAAAATTACACAGGTAATGTATACACCCGTAGATATTAATATTTAATGAATTTTTTTGGAATTTTAATTTATACAGATAATAATAAATTTTAAATAAAATAATTTATTGCTTACATTTTTAATGTATAAAAGATAATAAAAGATATAGTTATTTGTGTTTTGATTGTTATAATTATTTATGCGTGGAGAATAAAAATTATAGTTATTCATGTTTTTGCTTTTATAATTATTTACTTGTTATTACTTGTATAATTTTTTTTATAAATTCCAAACATTGTCATTGATGGTAAAATTATCAAGTCAATATTTACTTGATATTTAACTTTTATTAATATTATCACATATTTAGTTGGGGTAAATGAAGCGCCAGGATGATTTAATGAATTGAATTCTTTAAAAACAACAAAAAAAAAGGTGAGGTTCAAACTTTTTAATTAATTTACTTACTTACCCTTTTCATTTACATCTTATTTATATTAAAATTTTCTTATTTTGTGGAATTCAAACTTATTAAAATCTTTCTTTCTTGCCATTTTCCCTAACTAGAGTGAGAATTAATGCCTATGTCCATCACATGGGTATAAATTAAAACATATATTTTTATATTTTTAAATTTTTGCAGATTAATAAATTTTGGAATAAAATATGTTCTTTAAATTTGTAATGTATGCGAGATAACAAACTATAAAGAGTGTGTGCGTGTATCTTTCTAACATATTTTTTATTGATATATTTTCTACGTTGATTTTAATTTTTAGATAACTCATAATATGTTGTAGTTATATGTGTATGTGTCAAAAGAAGAAGTCTCACATTACCTATATAAAAAGAGCTCCTGGTGAATAAATACTAAAGAATAACATGGTTTAGTAAAATGGGCTTGGAGAAAAAGTGTATTCACACACGAAACATGCCAATTCAAGGCAATCACATCTAAAAAATAGTCTATTCATCCCCATGCGTGCAAGTTAAACAGCCATTTAGTTTTTTTACAGAATTATTTTTGTGAAAAATAAATAATTATTTATTTAAATTAGCTTATTGTTCCCCAATGGCTTCAAACAATTATTTAATGGTAATTTATATGTTTGTAATTGAGGGTTAATGGTGGTTTATTCTGGTGATTAAATCCTAACATTCATGTCTAGGATCTTGGCCTATATATGGGCATGCATGCAAACTGAACCTTTTACCTGGCTCTTGAGTTTTTGAGCCTATTCTTTCCTCCTTCGCCTTCTGTTCTGTGCTAGTTTGCTTAAGTTATCTTGTTAGTGTTTGCTATTCTGTTGCCTTGCTTGTTCGCAAGATGAGCTTGTTTATTCTTGGGGAGTTGCCGATCTACCATACCAATGTGCCCGAATAGTTTTTAAGGGTAGTATCCTTCAGCATGACTCGAGCTTCATTTCCCTACCTGCAACCAATAATCTTAAGAACTAACATGGCGTCCAATGCTGAGAATGTCATCTCCAAGGATGCGCCTGGTGATTCTGGTGGAGATTAGTTCATCCTTGCAGCTATTGTTGTTCCCTTATTGAGGCCATTCCTAGGCATTTCAAAGATAGAAGTCTTTAATGGCAAGAATTTCAAGTGCTGGTTAGAATGAGTCTTCACCATTCTTAATCTGCATGGTATAGCCACTACTCTTGCTCAACTAGAGTCCGCTGCTGATGCTAACCAGGCCCATAGAGTTGCGTGGACTCATACAAACAAAGTATGCTGACACACTATCATTAGCATTTTATCTAATGATTTGTTTGATGTCTACAGCATCTACAAGGAAGCCTATAAGATATGGGAGTCTTTAGTGACAAAGCACACTATTAAGGATGCTAGCAAGCAAAAGTTTGTTGTGGGAAACTAGTATAGATGGGAGATGATCAAGAACAAAGATGTGAAGGAGCAGATAAATAAGTATCACAAGTTACGGGAGGAGCTTGGTGCTGAAAATATCAACCTCCTAAATGAGTTTGTTGCTGGAATTCTTATCGAGAAGTTTCCAGAATCATAGAATGATTACAAACAACAGCTAAGACACAGATAGAAGTATTTGTCCTTGACTGACCTGATCACTTACATCATAATTGAGGACTCCAACCAAAGGGTAGTACGTGCAGCTAGAAGTAGAAAAGTGACATTCAAAGCCAATCTAGTGGAAACAAAGCCTCACAACAAGAGGTATGACCCTAAAACCAAAGATAAGAAAAAGAATAGGAAATTGGATTACAAACTCAGTGCTTTTAACCCCTCTTTCAAGAAAAAAAGGGATTGTTTTATTTGTGGTAAACTAGGACACTATGTAGCACCGTACTAAAAGAGAGTGAATCTAAATAAACCTCTAATACCAAATGTGAATTTGGTTTTAAGAGATAATAATAGTGATGATGACATCATTACTATAGTGGTGTTTCAAGCTCTCTTAATTTCTGATGTGAAGAAATGGGGTGATAGACTCTAGGGCTGTCAGGAACATATGTGCTAACCAAGAGATGTTTGCCTCCTATGATCTTGTAAAGAAAGGAAAGACTGTGCTTACCTTGTTGATTCATGAATTGCCAAAGTTTAAGGAAAAGGAAAAGTAGTTTTAAAACTCATATCAAGAAAGACTTTAGCTTTGAATGATGTTATGCATGTGCCTGAAGTTAGAGCAAACTTAGTTTCAATTGCTCTTTTAGAAAAAGTGAGGGTTAAAGTGTCATTTAAATTTGACAAGCTTGTAATGACAAAGAATAATATATTTGTGGGGAAAGGGCATCGTAATTAGGGACTGTTTGTTTTTAATATTGATGAAATGAATAATATTGCATCTTCTTAGCATATGCCTATTTATGTGATTGATTTTTTTGATTTGTGGTATGCTAGACTCGGTCATGCTAGTAAAGGTTATATAAATAGGTTGCAACAAATTGGTCTTCTTTCTAATTTTAATAATAATGATTTTGGAAAATATGAAGTATGCATAGAAACTAAATAAAGTAAAAAACCTCTTTTTCTGGTTAAAGAGAATTTGAATTACTGTCTTTAGTTCATTCTAATTTGGGTGATTTGAAACAAACCATGACTAGAGGTGGTAAAAAATATTATATCACCTTTATTGATGATTTTTCAAGATATACAAAGGTATAATTGTTAAGAAATAAAGATGAGGCTTTTGAAAAGTTTCTTTTGTATAAAGCAAAAGTTGAGAATTAGTTAAATAAAAAGATTAAGAAAGTTAGATCTGATAAAGGTAGAGAATACATTTTATTAAATGATTTTTGTAAAAAAAGGTATTATTCATAAGAAAACACCTCCTTATTCTCCTGAATCTAGCGGTATTGTAGAAAGGAAAAACAAAAAATTAAAAGAGATGATGAATGCTTTGCTTTGCTTGTAAGTTCTTCCGTGCCTGATAACTTATGGGGTGAAGCTATTTTGTCTGCATGTTTTTTACAAAACAAGACACCTTATAAGAAAATGAAGAAAATACCTTATGAATTGTAGAGAGGATTTACCCCAAATTTAAAATATTTGAAGGTGTGGAGGTGTCTTGCAAAAGTTTTATTGCTTGATCCTAAAAAGAGAAAAATTAGCTCTAAAACTTCTGATTGCATGTTTATTGCGTATGCTGAACAAAGTGTAGCTTATCATTGTTTAGTTTTAAAAAGTGATATTTTAAACCAAAACACAATTGTTGAGACTAAGGATGCATAATTTTTTGAACATGTTTTTCCCTTAAAATTTGAGCGTGTCTCTAAATCTGTTGAAAATTTTGAGTTTGAATAAAATTCAAATAAGGATTTGGTTTTAAGGAAAAGTAAAAGGCAAAGAAAAGAAACAAGTTTTGGAGACGATTTTTATACTTAGATGATGCAAGATGAACTATTAAATTTTTATGAAGTTATTTCTTCTCCTAATGCTATGTTTTGGAAAGAAACGATTGAGACTGAAATATATTGATTCCCTATGGAAAAGTAAAACTTTGATTTTAGCATATTTGACTCAAGGAACAAAGGCTATTAGGTGTAAATGGATTTTTAAGAAAAAAATATTTTTCAAATGGGTCAATTGATAAATATAAAGTAAGACTTGTGATCAAGGGTTTGACATAAAAGGAAAATATTGATTATTTTTGACACCTTTTCTCTTATGACTAGAATTTCTTCTATAAGAATTTTTATTACTTTAGCTTCAATTTACAAGCTTTTCGTTAACTAAATGAATGTTAAAACAGCATTTTTGAATGATGATTTGGAATAAGAGATTTACATGATATAGCCTGAGGAATATGTGATTCCTGGGTAAGAAAATAAAGTTTGTAAACTTGTCAAATATTTGTATGACTTAAAACAAGAACTTAAGCAATAGCATGAAAAACTTGATCAAGTTTTGACAAATGATGGATTTTCTACTGTTGAAGTAGAAAGATGTGTTTATATAAAATTTGTGAATAATGATTGTGTGATTATATGTTTATATATGGATAACATGCTAATCTTTGGCTCCAATATGTATGTTGTTAATGAAACCAAAAAATTTTTTCCTTCAAATTTTGATATGAAAGATTTGGGTGAAACCAAGGTAATTTTGGGTGTGAAGATCATAAGGAATGACAATTTTACTTTTCTAAGAACATTACGTTGAGAAAATTTTCATAAGGTTTCTTGAATATGCTCCTCTGAGTACTCTTTATGATTCGAGTGTACAATTAAAAAAGCATAAGGGTGACCCAGTTGCTCAATCTGAGTATGTACAGATTATTAGGAGTTTGTTGCATTTGATGAATTTTATCAAGCTAAATATAGCTTATACTGTAGGCAGATTGAGCAGATATACCCACTGTTTAGGCAACAAACATTAAAAGGCTCTAGTAAGAGTTTTGAAATATTTGAGAGGTACCATGAACTATGGTATATTGTATAGTGGATTTTTCACTGTATTGGAAGGAAACAGTGATGCTAACTAGATCTCGGATTTAGAAGAGACAAAATCCACTAGTGGTTATACATTTACTCTTGGTAGTGCAATAACTTGGAACTATGCAAAATAGACAATCAATACAAATTTCTCGAAGGATTCAAAATTATTGCCATGGAGTTGGTTGGAACTGAGGTTGAGTGGCTAAAAAAATTTTTAGCGAGTATTCCAATAAGTGACAAACCCACACTATCAGTGTCTTTACATTATGATAGCTAGTATATAATAGCAATGGCTAAAAATAAGACCTTTAATGAAAAAAATAGAAATATTCAATTGAGACATAATATTATAAGGCAACTGCTCAAAGATAGAGTTATCTCAACCAATTATGTAAGATCAGAGTTAAATTTGGCAAATCCATTAACTAAGCCCCCTAGGGAAGAAATTTATGATTGAAACGTCAAGGGGAATGGGATTTAAGCCTATTTAAAATTAACAATAATGACAACCTAACCTTTGTGATTGGAGATCCCATGAAAAAAGTTCAATGAGTAAAAATAAGTTACTTGTTAGTTTTGCTAATACTAAATTTTTGTCCCTTCTTATGTCTTGAGAAAGTACTAGAAGGTATTGAATGGAGGCTGAACAGAAGTTCTTGATGTTTTCATAGTCCTTGTGGATGGTGTATTCATTGTAGATACAGTTGATGAAAATACTTATACAAATGTGGAGTAGGGCTGCTCTTACAAGATCATGGCAAAATCTCTAGTGCATTTGTTCAATCCAAGCACGCACATGGCCGATAACATGCAAAACTGTCATTAACAATAGAGATTGTGGGCATATAGTTTGATTAATAAGACCTCTAGTACACACTCAAGATCTGTTAGTTTAATAACAAAGTTACATCGAGTGTACTAGGTTTTATTAGTCTGAATTTAGTTCAAGTCAAAAGACACCAAATTCAAAATGGTTATCTTCTATGTGAATAACTTAGATGATAGTAAATCTTTTTGACACATGTGGGGGATTGTTATAGTAATTTTATGTGTGTGTCAAAAGAAGAAGTCTCACATTGCCTACATAAAGAGAGCTCTTAGTGTATAAATATTAAGGAATGAAATGGGCAAGTAAAATGGGCTTGGAAGAGAAGTAGGCATGAAACAGGCTAACTTAAGGCAAAAGTTGAAAACAACCAATTCACCCCTTGCGCGCAAGTTAAATAGGCATTGGGTTCTTTTTACCGAATTATTTATTTAAATTAGCTTACTAGAACACCTTGTTTTTTGGCTAGTTGAAATTTGAATTCAAACCTTGAATGTTTTCTAGCCTTAGAGCAAATCCTTAAATAGATTTTATTATTTCTTTTATGTGTTTGTCCAAACAATTGTTTAATGGTGATTTACGTGTGTGTAACCAAGGATTAATGGTGATTTATTCCAATGATTAAATCCTAACTTTTGTGTCTAAGATCTCAACCTATATATAGGCATGCATGCGGATTGAATCTTTTGCTTGGCTTGTGAGTTTTTGAGCTTGTTCTATCCTCCTTTGCTTTATGTTTTGTGTTGGTTTGCCTGAGTTATCTTGTTAGTGTTTGTTGTTCTATTACCTTGCTTGTTCGTAAGATGAGCTTGTTTAATCATGGTACCTACCGCCAACATAATATATAGAGTACATAAGTAAAATAAAATATGAAATAAAATATGATATTTAAGTTGTTTATATTGGGTGAAATATTTTTAAATAGAATAAGGTGTTATTTATATTTTTAATATGTACGAGGGTAAGAAATCCTCAATTAAAATAATTAGCTTTTTATATGTACAAGATAATAAATTATAAAATAAAACATGTTAAAATTTTAATTTTTGTTGTGATCACACATCTTGAAATAACAAATTGTTTTGTATATGTACAAGGATAATATACCCTCAAACAAAATAATTATTTTTTTATATGTATAAGATAATAAATTCTAAAATAAAACATGTTTAAATTTTAATTTTTGTTGTGATCACACATCTTGAAATAACAAATTATAATGTATACTTTTAAACTGCACAAGGTAATGAATCCCAAAATAAGTTACATGAGAATAAGAAAAAGTAGTTTAATTTATATTTTTAATATGCATAGGTAGCAAATTCTAAAATAAATCAATTTGTTTATATAATATGAAAGAAACAAGGAAAAATGATAATAAAACCCCTTCAAATTATGTAAATGATAATTTGATCTCTCAAAATGTCATAATATTAATAAAATCCTTAGGAATCTCTTTATCAATAACTTTTTTAGAGAAAAAACCATTTTACCTTTATTGACAAATTATAATTTCTTGTTCAATTTTTGTGATTTTTTAAAGAAAAGTTATAATTCTTTAAATAAAAGTTGTAAATGAAGTTTGTTATTTTGAAAATTATTTTTTAATAATAAAAATTACACTTAATAAATTGTAATTTTTTGTTTAGCTCTTACGATTTACAGAGCAAAAATTGTTATTCTTTAAATAAAAATTATAATTGAAACTTGTTTTTTACTAATAGAAATTCCACTTGACAAGTTATGATTTATTATTCAACTCTTGCGATTTACAGAATAAAAATTATAATTCTTTAAATAAAAGTTGTAATTGAGGGTTATTATTTTCAGTAAGGGTAAAATAATCTTTTTCTAAAAAAAGTCATTGACAAAGAAACCCTTAAAGACTTTATTAATATTATGACATTTTAAGAAATTAAATTATCATTTACATAATTTAAAGAAATTTTATTGTCATTTTTTTAAAAAATAAATTCTAAGACAAAATATTTGTGTTTTATATTCTGTTAGGTTTGTCTTTGAGGAGAATGGAAAGGGGACAACGAAAATTTTGTTGAGCCCGATGAAGATGAAATACAGGAATGCGGTTAAGAGTTCCTTATTTTCTTGTCTTTTTTTCCCTCACATTTCTTTTCCTAATAAAATTTTATAATACAATTTGTCCATCTTTTTTAGATCAAATCATTAAAATATCTCTTAATTCCATTCTCATCTATTACACAACAAATTATTATATAGATAAGCGAGTTGAAAATTTTTAAGTAATTTCACTCACTTCTCACTTCAACACTTTATCTAATATTATATGAAACAAAATTTTATATATATATTTTTTACGAAATTGAACTCATTAAATATTCCTCTCATGTTACTTTAGACTACAAATTAATATCCCGCGCATCATAAAATCTAGTTTTTTTTTTTTAATGACGATAAGAAAAATTATTTACATTTAATAAATTATAAATATGACCCAAATAAAGAACTTATTTACATATAAGTCCTCCAGAAATGATAAACTCCGGGCAAGTCAATGACTCAATGGCTGTAATTTGGGTTGGCCATGAAAGGACGACAAAGCCCCTGCTCATTATTTCACAATCACATGACAGACGCCGTCTTTTCGATTAAAGCAAGAATTACCCCATTTTTCCTTGCAAAAGATGAAAAGTATGAAGGCGAGAAAGTTAGGTTAAAAAGTAAATACAATCCCAGGGCATAGAACGATTAACCAGAGTATATAGGTTCAAAAGATAAACCGCAACAAAGAATTCAGCAGTGAATTAAACTATTTACTAAAACTAATCACAGGATTGATTATAATTTTCATTAACTCGCCGAGAGGTCAAGCTACAAGTGTTGTGAAAATAGCTCAAGGATAGGATACAACCAGTTGTGCCACCATTATCCATGAAATTGCAACGCTGGTTAAGCATTCCAAGTTATACTTAATCTCAAGTATGCCACCATGTTTTTCCAAATATAAAAACACTTGGTCTTGCTATATAACTTTCTAGGTAAAAAGTTACTAATAGCACTCGGCCATCTCACAGCCATCCTCATCAACATAGACCAAATCTAAATCCAGCATCGGAGAGCTCCCATTTGAAAACCTATTATTCACCCTCCTGTTCCTTAAAATCAACTGTGACTCTTTCATCAACTTCATGTACTTTTTCCTCACCTTCAGTAAAGGATGCTCATCTATAGCTGATCTATTCCTGTAAGCTTCCTTAAGAATGACTGTGCAAGTTTTATTCCTAAGAGACAGGTAAAACATGTGGGGATGCCGCTCAAATGCCTTGTGCACTTTCTGTGGCAGCCCTAAATGTTTCTTAAGGCAAAAGAGCATCTTCCTCTCTGCTGAATGGTCAACAAAAAGGGAAAGCAGTTCATGAAGAAGCCCCACGAGCCGCTTCTCTGCTATGTCACTATTTGGATCCAAACTTGAGAATTTCTCGTAAGGTGAGACATAAGGAAGCTTTTGAAATTCATTTAGCCAATTCTCAATCTTCTTCCTCAACCTCAAACCTTTTGATGGAAAAAGTGGAAATTCAATGGCCTCCATTGAGCCCCCAAAATACAAGCCTCTTTTCATGGCATTCCTCTGCATCATGGACCAGTCTTTTTCTTCGCCTTCAACTGTCAATGCCTTAGACCCATCTGCCATATCTACAAACTTGAATGATTCATCAAGATTCCGCTCTGGATACAGCAAAAAATCATCAGGCAACCCTAGATACCACTGCATCCCTTTGATTATTTTTAAAGGCAGAAGATTCTCTCTGCTCATCATTATCACCTTCTTTAACCTAGTTCTTAAGTCCTCCCTGAACACTTCGTAAACTCCCTCTTCTTCCCTGTTAATTTGAGAAGCTTCTGAAGTCAACCTGAACCAAGGAAGATTGTATTCAGGACCTGTAAACTCCTGAAAAATGGAAGGATATTTCCTCATAAATCTGGCAACCTTCATGGGCACACCTAACTCTAATCCCCTCTTTGACACTGCAGAGATTGGAATGCAACCATTTGGATCCTGGGCTATGCAGTTTTTGAGGGCAACGAGAGGTTTTAGTTGAATTGACTGGTGGATGTGCTCAATTGAGTCATAGTATGAATCTTTTTTCCATTTCATGTACACATCCACATAATTACATGTCTGGACGTGCAAGACAGGAGGGATTGGGACCCAATGTATTAAGGAGAATATTGAAGCTTCAGATGATCTGAGCAGATTTTTGAAGGCTCTTGTTGGAAATTTGTTCAAGTCAAAAAACATTTGAGTGATAAATCAGATGCAGCACTTGATGACTTCCTGCCCAACAAAAACAGTAAAAGTGATAAAGATTTTAGTTTTTACTGGCAGTTTCCAGATCCCTGTTTGAATCTACAAAGAGTTTCCCATGGAGGAGATAGTGGGAATGTTTCAGGAGAAAATATAATAGATGAAAGATTCTTTAAAACAATATCGAATAATGATAGAAAAACTTTAGTAACAGGCTACAAGAAACAAGTTCTTCAGACCGTGGTAGCATAACTCATTCAAATTCAAGTAATAAATTAAGTAGAAAGCATCCTTTTCTTCTTAGGATTCCCAGAACTAAAAGAGTAATGGTCAGCGTGATATATCTTCTGACAGTAGTTCATTATACTGCTTTCTTTCACTGATACTCCGAGTATCAGTATCCCGATATACCACAGTACAGAACACAATAAAACAACGCCCATGTAACAAAATATATCATCATCTATCATCAAATACGCTTGCATGTCAGACCATTAACCATGTCAAAAAACATTCATAATAACAGGACATGAATTATCCAGCTAATACAACTCAATTTCAGAAATAGTTCAAAATGTCGAAATTCAACATCTACTGAAGTAGCTCAACTAATATCCTTGTGCCATCCCGTAAAAAAGAAATCAAAACATTCAGAAGTAGTACAATGGATAATTTAACAAAGAATAATTAAAACCATAACCAAATATTGTTAAATAGATCAAGCATTTATAAAATTGATTGCACATTAAATTAATTAGATTTTTATGAGACGCTGCAAAATATCAGATGCACGGAAGGCATCCGCAAATCAACAGCTTAATGACCTTGAATCATGCGCTATACACTATTTAAGATTACCAAATACATCCAGCGATAAGACAATTTACTAGTTCCCGCTTACAGATTAAACATTAGAATTACACAAATTGAAATTAGGTACTTCAGGACATACAATGAATTCTATTTGATTTTACAAGGAAGCAGAAGGAATTTCTAATATGAACAATAAGCCAATAAGGTGTTATTTTGTTCAAATGTGAATACAGCGGAAACATCAATAACTTGAAATTAACATGGAATAACTCTGATTCAATGCCTCACTATTAACTTGGAATTCAATGATTTCTTAGATCCTTATTTGGAATTAAAATGCTACTGACACCTTGGTACCACTCATGGCAGACCCTAAAAATTAATAAATAAATAAAGCTATTAAAAACAACCCAAACCAGGAGCATCATTGAATAATAAAATTACTTTCTTGAGAAAAAAAACATAACCTACATCAAAAGAACCAAATCATTTTTCTTCATACTCCACTAGCTAGCTCATCCACTTTATCAAGTCATGGCCTCATACATTGCATTAGCCGCCACCAAAAATAAACTGTATCCGTAATTCCAGGCAATCCAAACCCTAAAAGCTAAATGATTTAAGAAAATCAGAAGCTTCAAATTCCCACATGTGGACATATTTTTCTCACTGTAAATGCAACTTGTCAGTAATCATTGAACCAAATGCACAAATGCAATCCCACAAAATCTGCTGGAAACAAAAACGCTCTCCTGATAATTAGTCAAACACACCCATATTTTTTTACAAATAGTAAACATACCTCTTAAAAATAACTAGGAACATATCAACCATTAGCAAGATTGTGCAAGAATATGAAAGAGTCTACAAGAATCAAAGCTGCATTCAGTAACACAATGAGACGATTGCTTTGAGAACAATAGGAAATCATTATATCTCCACAAACCCAATCATGATTTCAAATATGATAACACCTTTGACCACATAACATTCCTAAAATTTCTTATCACAATGTGCAGCAAGACGCATGGTCAGAGAAGGGGGAAAATGAAGTCTACAATCACCAAAAGCAAATCATTTTAGGCACCAGCAGGCAAACTACAAGGCATGCACATGTATAAAGGTATAAGAATCTTCCTTCCTACATGTTATAAAGCATTCTGTGACAATGATTTGGTCTTCCTAGAAGAATTTGCCCTGAAAACCCAAACCCTTGCAAGAGAAGAAACAGAGGAAGCAAATAATGACGAAAACAGGGAAGAAAGATGGAAACTTACGGTGCTTTTCTAGGTTTCACAGCTCTTACTCCCTTCACAAATTGATCCCTCTGAATCTCTCACTCCTTCCTACTTCAAAAGCCACCGTCATGCTTGGATTGATGGTTCCTCTTATGCTCAGTCTATTCCTACGTCTCTAGGTTCTCATTTGCAACGCTGCAATTCCTCCACCACCATTTTTTCTTTTTAGCTTTTTTCCCGCCTTCATATTTTTACTAAAAGTTCACATAAGGGAAATATTGATGGTTAAAACTCTTCCTTTCTTTCTTTCGCGAAACGATAAAATTTTAACATTTCATAGCTCAATAATAGCGGGAAAGAAGTTTTTTCAAGATTTTTGAGCGATTTGAGATTTAAAAAAGAAACTTGGAAGTTATCACAAAAGTAAAGTCCAAAAATATCTAAAATAAAGAAATCTGGTGGATAATTCATAGTTTTGTGAAAGATATTAAACAAAATCATATTTCCAGTTTTCAATTTAATAGCGTGAAATCCTCAGGCGATCAAACACTTTGAACACTAGATACTAGATAGTGGAGAAAAGAATTTCATTAATATCGTTTAAGGTGACCTGCAAGGGACATGTGGAAAAATACATGCAGGGAAGCCGGATGCTTGGAGAGAAACTGAGATATGAAGAGACTCAAATAATATAATACAATGGGTGAATTGAATTGCACTTAAGTTTGACATGACATCATCTAACATGTTGCTTATCCAACTCTATTAAACTATATCCTGGAGATTTTTTCAACCCTTTACCCTTTGTCATGGATCTTATTTGGGCTACTTCATCCCATTTTCCCTTCTCAGCAAATATGTTTGACACCAAAAACTGTAAACTCGAGTTATTCAATTCCAGTTCTAACATTTGCTTCACAATAGCCTCACCTATCTCTGTATCACCATATAATCTGCAAGCAGAAAGCAAAGCACGCCATGCTGAAGAGTGTTGGGTTAAAGGCATGATTTTAACCAAATTGTATGCTTCTTTAAGTTGTCCAGCTCGGCTCAATAAATCTACCAGACATGAATAATGAACTTCACATGGAACTATGGAATATTCTTGCACCATGGTCTTGTAAACTTGCAGACCATCTTCTACCAAACCTGAATGGCTGCAAGCAGTTAGTATTGATGTAAAAGTTACTTCATCAGGTCTAACTTGGGCTGATTTCATTTGTTCAAAGAGTTTTAAAACCTCTGCGTGGTTTCCATGAATCCCATATGCAGCTATCATTGCATTCCATGTTGTAAGACAACGATCTAGCATTTGATCAAACATACATCTAGCCATATCTATTCTACCACACTTAGCATAAGCAGTCATCAGAGAATTGATTACAAATAACTCTCTGCCAAGCAAACCTTTGTAAATCAGGCAGTGAACTTCCTTTACGAAACTTAAACATCCAAGAAGAGATAATGCTTGAATTAGACTTATTAGAGTAATAGAGTCAAGATCTAAATTTTCTTCTTGCATCAAACGAAACAAAACAAGAGCTTCATAATGGTGGCCATCGTAAACATAACCTCTCATCAATGAAGTCCATGAAACCAAGTCCTTATATCTTACACAATTAAAGACTCCCCTAGCATAAAGCATATGCCCACAATTAGCATAAGTGTTAATCATTTGATTTGCAATTTCCACATTCTTGAGAAATTCATGTCTCAATAAATATCCATGGATAGACCTGGCTATCCTAAAGTCTCCCAGGTTTGAAGCAGCAGAAAGTAAATTCAGATATGAACTGACATTTGGCCAAACACTCATTTTGACCATTTCATTAAAAGCATTTATAACCTCCAAAGATAATTCATTTTTGAGAAAACCTGCCATCATAACATTATATAGAACAACATCCTTATTTCCCAAGCTTTCAAACATTTTTCTAGCTTTGGTTACATCAAATTTAGAGTACAGATCAACCAAAGCAGTGCTAGCAACCAGATCAGGTTCTATCCTCATGTGTATCATGTAACCATGGATACTCTTCCCTTGACGCAAATAATTTAAATTAGCACAAGACAAAATTGCATTGGCTAAGGTCAACAAATCAGGCAAAATATTTTCATGCATCATTTGATAGAAAAGTCTGAACGCTTCTAAATCTTGTCCCATCTGAAGATAAGCAGAAATCATAGTATTCCATAAGCCAACCCTTCTGACATCCATCTTACCAAATATTAAAGCAGCCATTTGTGGGTTCCCACATTTGTGATACATATCGATAAGGCATGTTTCAAAAATCTCATCTGACATGCCAATTCCATGTCTAATGGCATAGCCATGGATTGCACGACCTTGTTCTAGTGCTCCCGACTGAATTGTTGCCTGAAGTAGACTCACTAATGTCACTCGATTCAAATGCAGCTTTTTATTCTGCATTCTGTGAGAAATCAGAAAGGCCTTATGAGCACTAAGGTTGCATTGAGCATAAGCAGTGATTATTGACGTATACACCACAAGATCTTTGTCAGTAATTTCATCAAAAACCTTAGAGGCACTTTCCAAATCATCAGCTTTAGAATACAACTTAATAAGAGAACAACCCACAAAACAATCCGCGTTTAGATTGACCTTGAGGGTATCCACATGAATTTCTCTTCCAAATTCAAACCTTCCAAGACCAACACAACTTCTCAAACTAACGGTAATTGCTGAACCACCTAAACCAATTTTCTGACACTTCAAATCCAAATATTGGATAAGAACTTTTTCATAATTGCCAGCCCTATAGCAACCAACAAGTAACGAATTCCAAAGAGAAAGATCACTACTACCAATTCTATGAAGAACACATCGAGATTCATTGGCTAGGTTAAGTTTAGCATAGCAATGCAAAAGCTTAGAGCCCAATAAATTGGAATTTTCAAGTCCACAAACAGTAATTCGAGCATGCAATTTCCTCAAGGAAAGTACCTCCGAACAGTTATCCAAGAAAGATGCAAAAAGATTCTTTGAAATATCCACTGAACCATAAGTTAATACTTTGCTCTTTAGTGTACAAAATATCTTAGTCTGAATCCTGGTGAACTGAAAATTGATTCCACGGGCTAACATAGACAAACCAAATGCTGTAACATTCATATTCATGAAAGAATTGTGCTCTCAGTTCCTGTTCTACATGGTTTTTCAACACTGCACCTCCACTCTATTAAGAAAACCACAATAAATATAAAAACTACATTGCAGAAATAAGTAGTACGCAACCAAAATTTCAAAAACAAGAAAACCCAACAAGTCAATATAACAAGTAAGACAATGTTTTTGCATCAACAATGACTAACCAAACAGAAAACATCTAAGATTCCAACTGCAATCATAATTCATGCAATAAAAGGGCAAACCAATTGCAAAATTGAAGTTTAAAAAAACACAAATCAAAAGGTTCCTCAAATTGTAAATATTCGTCAAATACTAGATTAAATCTCACTTTCAAATCTGCATTCAAATACTTGCTAAAGGCTCTCTAGTATGATGAGGTTCTTTCAAGCAATGGAAATTCATGATTTAGAAATAAAAGTAAATCAACATAGTTTATAAGAACACCAGCAAAAACATACTAAAATTGCACAAAAGCAAGTACTGCATTCAATTTGAAAGCAATTGTACAGTAAGCTTCCCGATGGACTGGAATTTCACACAATATCATAATATAAATTAAGAATCAATCTGACGTGCTAGAAGTCAAGGGATAGACACTGTTGTACTAAAGAGCAACCATGTTGGCTAACTATTAATTTCAATTCTATGAAATTCCTTTCTCAAACATTTCATCAAACTATCCCAAAAGGCTAACATAAGAACAAACATACTCCTTGAATTAACAACCAAATGCCATTTCAATGACTCCCTAATTTCATTTCCAAACTTTATTATAGAGAATAATTGCCTTCAATAATTCCACATTAAATCTTACACAACTTCTTAAAGTCTCCTAGGTTTCAAATAAATCAATTAATTAGCTTCCAGATTTTTTTTCTTGGATGAAATTAGCTTCCTTATTAATCATTAGCATGATAATCACACTCAAATGCTTAATTCAATAAATTTCTTCCTTACACATTTCATCAAACATCTTGTATGCATTCAAAAATTGAACCCACAACAAACATCTTATTTCACAAACTACCAACCATATTTTTTCAAGAATCAACACAATCTCTTAAAGTTTTCATAATCAATTTTCTTGACAAGGTTTCTCTTATAATAAAAGCAAAATATAACCTTGACTTCTTTATCTTTGTCATATAAGTAAATTTTCTTAGTCTAATAATTTCCATCAGCTCAAACTCTAGCTCCTTTCCTTCCTCCATAACAGCAGTAACCACAAGGGAAAGAAAAGAATTTGAGCATACCTAACATGAAGGAAGAAGCAATGGAGCGAGCTATTGAGCCAAAAATTGTCACTCATAGCACTAAAAAAGAGAAGGTTTTGTTCTGCACTCTTAGAAAAGCAGTGGGTGGACATGATGGAAAAAAAGAAGCCAAACTGTGGAAATATATTATATTTAATGTAAATATTTGGTAATTATTTTCTTAGTTATTATACAATCAAATAGGATCAGATATAGTAGGGAAGTTTTTTATTTTATTCCCACTATGAATCCGTTATTTCTCGGCTGTTATTATGGTCACTCCACTGTATATATGCAGTCGACACCCACTGAATAATGTGTTCAATTTTTCTCATTTATCTTCATGGCATCAGAGCACAAGGAAGAAAGAGCGATTGAATCATCAGAGACGGAAATGGAATCAAACTCTCGGCCTGAAACTCACTGAAGAATAAAGTCAACTAGCTTGGAGGGGTTGTCCAATGCAAGCTCGTATCAAGTCACATCCTTTGTGACTAGCCAAGAGAACTCGCCCATCTCTCTATCTCAGAGAAGCTCACTGGCATCAACTATCGAGAGTGGGCCCAAACCATTCGACTCGCAATAGAGGGCTATGGTAAATAGGGGTACGTCTCTAGCAAAACCCAATGTCCAGAGGCAATGAATATCAAGGCTTTCAAAGTTTGGAAGACCAAAAATTCAATGGTGTGTTCGTGGCTGGTAAATTCGATGATGCCAGCTGTGAAGAAAAGTTTTTTATTTCTCCCAACAGCTCAGGAGATACGGGATGCTACGAAGGAGGCATACTCAGATGGTGAAAATGCTTCTCAAGTGTTTGACATTAAATCTAAACTGTGGCTCATGAACCAAGGTAATCGTGACCCAAGTGAATATTACCTTCAAAAAAGTTCTTCATGGCAAGAACTTGATCTGATTATTGCTAAGGAATAGACCAATTCTGAGGATGATACTCGGTTTCAAAAGCGACTTGAGAAAGAATGCCTTTTTGAGTTGTTAGTAGGACTTAATTCAAATCTAGATGATGTTCATGGCAGAATTCGGAGTCTAGAACCTTTGCCATCTATCCCTGAAGCCTTTGCAATGATCCAAAGGGAGTACTCATGAAGAAAAGTAATGTTAAAAGATGAACCTATTCCTCAAACTAGTACTCTTGAAGTGTCTGTATCTGCTCTTGCTGCCAAGTCCAATAAGCCTAGAAACAATAAAGGGCGTCCCACGTGTGAACATTGTAAGAAAGTGGGCCACACATAGGACAAACCCTCTGACTGGAAGCCAAGGAAGGGAAGAAGCCATGGATATGTTGCTAAAAGCTCTATGGGAGATGATAAT